TCACAAAAATGTAGACTGAAGCACATATTTCCAATGAGTCTGTGCTGGAAAATGTTTTTTTTCTACCTACTTATGCGGTCTAAACCAAATGTGTGGAAGCTTATAAATCATAGAGAATTACTTAGTAAGCAAAAATGGGTGTAATATTTTAGGAAACTGCACTGAAGGTGGTAAAAAAAGAATATGATCAGTATTTGGATATTAGGATTTCATCTACTCGACTGAAAAATATACGAACAAGCATGAATGTAGTCAAGATTGACAACAATCTTGTCAAGATTCAGAAGAATCTTGTTTCAGTCTGACCAACCACAAACACATCTCTCCTGCTTGATTTGATATCTTCTGGCATAGACTACCGTCCTTTTCAGTTTCATGAATAAAGCCTGCAACATGACAATAATTAATATTTTTCATCATCAGCATTGCTTACCAAAATATGCACGTTTCATTTGAAATCTCTACATTCTGCTCTCTAATATGGCCACTGATGACGTCATAAAAAACGCTCTATTTATGTCTACACAAATCAAATAAATTCACAAAAGAAAAACAACTGACCTATTTATATAAACAGAACAAGGTGTTGCTGTGCTCTTACCTACTTTTTAATAGCTATAAAAAAACATTTACTTCAGTTGTAATTGTGATGGTTAATGCTAATATTCTGAACTGAAAACATCAGCTTTAATCAGTATAGATTAATTCTCAAAATCATTATCCACGTTAATTTCGCTGTGATGTTTGCTATTGTTTAATGCTACAAGTTGAGGTGACAGAACAGAATTTATGAACTATCACTCCAATTCAAAACAGCACCTAAAATAGCACATCTTCATTTTATTCCCATAAGAAAAACATTTTCATGACAGCAATGGTGGACTTGACCAATAAGCAAGGTAAGCAAGCATTGAGGAGAAAAAGAGCTCCCAATAAAGATCTATAAAGATCTTTCAATAATTTATCTAAATAACAGTTTTCAATCACACTGGTATGTTAAGGGTCTAACAAATAAAATCTTTAAGTATTTATAACATCCATAATGCTTTAACTTTACTAATAAAATAAAATAAAATAAAAATAAAGTCACAGAGGCACAGTGGGTAGCACGATCACCTCAGCTGGTTTGAGTCCCGGCTGGGTCAGTTTGATTGTTCTCCCCGTGTTCGTGTGGGTTTTTCTCCAGGTAACTCGGGTTCCCCCACAACCCAAAGACATGCGCTATAGCTGAATAGAATAAGCTAAATTGGCCGTAGTATATGTGTGTGAATGCAAGAGTGTATGGTTGTTCCCAGTGTTGGGTTGCAGCTGGAAGGGTATCCGCTGCGTAAAACATATGCTGGAAAAGTTGGCAATCCATTCTGTTGTGGCGACCCCAGATAAATTAAGGAACTAAGTCGAAAAAATAAAATAAAATAAAATGAAATGAAATAAAATTAAATTAAATCTGTCTAGAATTGCTAAGGGCCAAATCAATAAATCCAGCCCTGCATGGCATTTTGATCCTTTCTTTTAACAAAATCAATGGGATTTTATCGTGCGGTTTGGTTTGGAAGGAGACAAACCTGCAAAACTGTGTTCCAATAACACATAACGCAACACGATTCCAGTGACAAGAAATTTGGCTGTCTACAACAAACATGACACAGCATGACAGAAACAATTAAATATTAGCCATTCATTTAAATACCAGCCGTTGCACTCCCAACGAAATGGTGATTGCTAATATCTCAACAACAACTAAATAATAACCACACCTGTTCCACTTCACAAGATACACTGGAACTTAAAAAAAAAAAAAAAAAAAAAAAAAAAATCAACAAACTGGCATGGCTAAATACACAAGACCAGTGAGACGTTCCAGTCATTCCTGCATGCCAGTGAATCCATTTGGCAATGGTTTTTATGCTGCACAAAATAACAGATTCGTTACTCAACTTTCATTTCCCACGCCAAACCTCACAAAACTGATGCACAATGCCTGCACAGCTTTAGATCAGTGCAGTTATTTTAATAACACCCATTCAACCAAACAACAGTCTTCCAGCATGACCAGTTTTGCTGTAAATTTAAATCTATTATCTGCCGAGACATCGGACATATTTTGCATGGTGTGTTTGTTTCGCTTTCTGATGAGCTGATTAAATGCAATCCATTCTCCACACAGAATATGAAAATGTTTTGCATCTAAAGTCTCTTTATCTTTGAGAATTGCTGCTCTTTGAGGTCCATGTTCACTTTCAGAAACATCCACAGCTAATGTGTTATTATGAGACACTGAATACTAGGATATAATGAAACATATAAGACGTAATATTAGGAAAGGTTTACATTGCATTTGTGAGTCAGTCTTGAAAACAGATGTTTACTAAAGTGAATCATAGGTTTATAATATCATTAGAATAGCATGCCTGAGGCTTGATTCTCATGACCATGTGTGTCTTCCTAGTAGGCAGTTAAGTTCTGGATTAAATTATGTTTACTTTTTAGCGAATAAACAAACAACTATAAATATTCTTAAATAACAAATAGGGATGCTTCGATCAGGATGTTTGGAGCCAATACAGAGTACCGATTCCTTGTGTTGGTGATCGTTTGATACAGATTCTGATGCTTCAAGGTTTATATAACTTTAGCATTGCATTAAGCATTTAACTCTCTTAAGTGTGATACTTAAGTGGAGATCTGGATTTACCTGAGAGAATAAATGAAGGATGTTGTATATAATCCCTTAAACATGTCTCTTATAAACATTTAGTGTGGACACGTCATGGTCAGAAGCAGCTTCTAAGAAAATAATATACAAGAAACTATTTTAAAATTTGGTATGAAAAATGACTAACAATGCAATTTGGAAACATTGCAAAATGGTGGAGGAATAACTCAATGTGTGTCAATGAAGAAAATGTTTGGAGTGCATATTTGATGCATAACATATAAAAATGCATCTTCCTCTACTTGTAAACCCGTAAACAAACATTCAGTTCACGTGATAAATTGAATAATAATATGGCATATTGAATAATATTTTGCTATATTGAATAATAATATGACATGTCGAATAATAATACGATATATTGAATAATAATATGATATATTAAACAATAATATGATATATTGAATAATATGATATATTAAATAATAATATGATATATTGAATAATAATATGATATATAAAATAATAATGATATATTGAATAATAGGATATATAAAATAATAATATGATATATAAAATAATAATATGACATATTGAATAATAATATGATATATTAAATAATAATATGATATATTAAATAATAAGATATATAAAATAATATGATATATTAAATAATAATATGATATATTGAATAATAATATGATATATAAAATAATAATGATATATTGAATAATAGGATATATAAAATAATAATATGATATATAAAATAATATGACATATTGAATAATAATATGATATATTAAATAATAATATGATATATTAAATAATAATATGATATATAAAATAATAATGATATATTTAATAATAGGATATATAAAATAATGACATATTAAATAATAATATGATATATTGAATAATAATATGATATATAAAATAATAATATGATATATAAAATAATAATGATATATTGAATAATAGGAAATATAAAATAATAATATGATATATTAAATAATAATATGACATATTGAATAATAATATGATATATAAAATAATAATGATATATTGAATAATAAGATATATAAAATAATATGATATATTAAATAATAATATGATATATTGAATAATAATATGATATATAAAATAATAATGATATATTGAATAATAGGATATATAAAATAATAATATGATATATAAAATAATATGACATATTGAATAATAATATGATATATAAAATAATAATGATATATTGAATAATAAGATATATAAAATAATATGATATATTAAATAATAATATGATATATTGAATAATAATATGATATATAAAATAATAATGATATATTGAATAATAGGATATATAAAATAATAATATGATATATAAAATAATATGACATATTGAATAATAATATGATATATTAAATAATAATATGATATATTAAATAATAATATGATATATAAAATAATAATGATATATTTAATAATAGAATATATAAAATAATGATATATTAAATAATAATATGATATATTGAATAATAATATGATATATTGAATAATAATATGATATATAAAATAATAATATGATATATAAAATAATAATGATATATTGAATAATAGGAAATATAAAATAATAATATGATATATTAAATAATATGACATTGAATAATAATATGATATAATTAAAAAATAGTATGATATATTTAATAATATGATATATAAAATAATAATATGATATATTAAATAATAATATGACATATTGAATAATAATATGATATATTTAAAAAATAGTATGATATATTGAATAATATGATATATAAAATAATAATATGATATATTAAATAATAATATGACATATTGAATAATAATATGATACATTTAAAAAATAGTATGATATATTGAATAATATGATATATAAAATAATAATATGATATATTAAATAATAATATGATATATTGAATAATAATATGATATATTAAATAATAATATGATATATTGAATTTGATATACGGAGTAATAATATATAGAAAAATATTGTGATTTATTGGATATGATAATTGTTTATATTTTATTATGTACATTTAAAGAGAGCGAGTCATTTGCTGCTAATATGATTTTCCTATTCAGAATTTGCATATATAATTTTCTGAAATTATATTATAAAGGAGAATCAATGTCTGAATATTCCAATATAAAACCAACTTTACCTCTATTGTTGTTCTGAAGTCAAACAATGTGATATCAGACCAAAATATCTTAAACAATATAGGGAGCATGTCACAAGTTGTCATTGAATGAATGTGAGAATTTAAAACCAGCTACTTCAGAGGTCATAAAGGGTCGAGCTACTGACCTGATTGGGGTCATCGTAAAACACCCCGACAGACGAGAGCTTCGGTCCGATGCTGCAGCTCTCCGTGAAAGCGGCTCCGCTGGCCTTGTACGAGCTCTTCCAGAACTTGTATGCAATCGTGATGTTTTTCACCGGAGGAGATCCAGTCCGAATCACGACTTCCGAGAAAAGACCGGTGTAAAAAACGAAGCCCACCAGAGTCACGATCAGACAGATGATCAAAAACAGAATTAGCAGTAAAATGATAAAGTCCGACATTTTTGTTTGCCCGGCTTCACAAAATCACGCTCAGAAACGGTCAACGTGTATAAATAATCCTCAGCTACAGGGAAAACAAACACAAAATCAGTCCTTCAGCATGCGAATTGGCTTGTTTGCTCGCGTGTCGCTCGGCAGATGTTACATTTACAGTGTTGAGGCTTTACTGTTAGGTAAGTTTAGTTATGTATTGACACAGCTGAATTTTTGTTTATCCTTTGCACAAAACATTGAGCGCATTGCTTCCTGGTTGCAACATGTGACTGTGACTCAGAGGGATTGCGTGAACGAGCCAACCAAATAGTTATGTTAAGTCCGATTCATTTGCGCGAATCGGTTCTTTTGAACGGGTCTATTATACAACCGATTCAGTGATTTGTTCTGCTGAAACTATCGGTTGTTTTGGCGTGTTAGTCCACCCTCATTTGCATTCATTAATCTGTTTTACACTAGGTACACAAAAAGTTACACTCAGGCCCCATTGAATCCCATAAAAGGCCAATATTTCATCTCTGTGCCTTTTAAGCATGCAAACCAATACATAAAATGTAAAACCTCTTAACTAATAAAAATAAATGCAAAAGAATAAAAAAAGGTATAATTTATTTACTTTTTTTCAAAATTTTCTTAAGTTTAACCTTTTTAGCAAATAGCAAATACATTTTTTTATTTGTATAGCACTACATGTAAATTGACAGGACTACATGTAAATTATTCATAAAAATGTAAAATAATAATAAAAATTTGGCATTCAATATCGTTTACATATAAGTTTTGAAAACTGCAATTTAAAGGTTTATTGAATACAATAAAAGGCCAATATTTATCTCTGTGCCTTTTAAGCAAGCAAATACATTCATTCAGTCATTTTCTTTATGAATAGTTCCTTTATTAATCTGAGGTCCAATTAATGAACCGAAAACTTATCCAGCAAATGTTCACTCATTCACAACGGACAATTTAGCCTACCAAATTCACCTGTACCACATGTCTTTGGACTGTGGGGAAAACCAGAGCACCCGGAGGGAACCCACGCGAACACAGGGAGAACATACAAACTCCACAAAGAAACGCCAACTGACCCAGCCGAGGCTCGAACCAGTGACCTTCTTGTTGTGAGGCAATGCTTGTTGAAAACTGAAATTTAAAGGGTTAAAATCCTTAAAATGAATTTAATTTTGGTTGTAATCAGGACTGATGGTGGAATCTATGTCAATAAGTGCAGAAAATTATTTTATGATCATTTTTGCCTATTAGAGACCTGTGTGTAACTTAGTATAATTGACAGTATAACTTTACAGTACAGACAAATGCTGCTGCACAAGAACATACAGGAAATTGGCCTTCATTTATTATTAACATTTACATTTTTATTAAAATATGACAGCAAACGGCAACAAACAAATACCATAAAATGTGAAAACACAAATAGTTTCTCAAGAAAACCACTTGATTATGGTTAATACACATCAGCCTTTTTCTCCATTTAAAATTAGAAAGGAAAAGAAAATATAATTGGATGCACTAGTACAGGGGTGGACAGCCCTGTTCCTGGATAGCCACCTTCCTGCAGATTTCAGTTGCTCCCCATAACAAACACACCTGAAACAATTAATTAGGACCTGAACACCACGTGATAATTACAGGCAGGTGTGTTTGATATGGGTTGCAACTGAAATCTGCAGGAAGGTGGCTCTCCAGGAACAGGGCTGTCCACCCCTGAACTAGTAAATCAACGGTAGTGTATTTCAGTCCGATTCATCTGATTCCTCCACTTCTTCCTGTCCATCATTTCTCTCATCAGAGTCACTCTCCTGCATCAAAAACAGATTAGATCAAGCATCAAGAAATAAAATATATTACCAAATCCCTCATAAAGGATCCAATGAGGAAACTGAACTCCCAAAACAAGTGAAGCGAAATTCATGACATCCCATTAAAGACAATTATAGACAGTCACGGGACATGCTGCAGATTTGCTTTTGTGAATTAGATGACAACGCATGATAACAAAATACTGCTGCTGGGCAGGAGAGGAATATGTTGATGTGATAGGAGAAATGTGTTATAATAATCAAACATAATTAAAATGGCCTGTAATATTTGCATTTCATAAAAAAAGACTGATGTTAATTCACCCTCAAGCCATCCAAGATATTGGTGATTTTTTATTTAATTATTTCACCTAAAACATTCTTGATGACTTATCGAATGTTAGGCTAATAGTCAACAGCTCTCTGGGCTCAAACTCACCCATGAGCTAATGCTGTTTGTTAGCTGACTTTTTTAGCAGCCGGTATAATAATTCATAATGGTAAATGTGTTGAACAAACAAAAAAGCAAAAAAAAAAAAATACACAAAATGAGTTACTGGCACTAAAAACCAAAATAGCATAGTGAAATTTTATCCAGTGTTGTTCAATTGTTTTTCTCCGGTCAATGGATACTGAAAGTTTAGCTTTGTTATCACAAGCATCAAAACACATAAAGTAGAAAAAGAACTCTTTTGAATTGTAATAATATTTCACAACATTACCAAAATTTCAACATTATTGAAATAAAAAGCCTTTGAGCTTGAGAGCCTTCTTTAAAAATAAAAATAAAAAACAGCAAATGATAAAATGTTAGATCGAATAACACTAATCAATTGACCTAGATTACAACACTTGCATGTAAAGCAAAGAAATGAATGATTTTTTGGCATTGTAACAAAAATATTTAATTTCCCATCAGCAAAGTTCACATCTTATTGTGCATCCTGTGCAGTAGGAATAAACAGTTTATGTTCAGAATTCCAGCAGATTAGATTACAAGAGCATTTATGTCGAAAAATGGAGGCCAACCTACCTCTGCTTCGCTCTGTAGCTGAGAGGACTCTTCCTCCTCTTCATCAGCTGCCTGTGACCTCTGAGAGAGAATCTCTTCACCCTGCAAAAACAAAACAAACAAAAATGTTTTACATCTCTGTATAATCCAGAAATACTAAACTGCACCCAGTGCTCCAAATGGTGTCCTTATATCCAGGGTGCGAATTACAGGGGAGTTTAGGGGGGATTAACAACCCTGATTAACACTCGATCCCTCCTGAAGAAGGTCATAACAAGATGTATAGGGGGGTCAGTTGTTAAATACCGAGAAATATTTCACTCTGATCTGTATTTTAAATAATTAATTAATTCATTCATTTTCTTTTCAGCTTAGTCCCTTTATTAATCTGGGTTCCCCACAGCGGAATGAACCACCAACTTATCCAGCACATGTTTTACGAGGCAGATGCAGATACACTTATAAATAATAATGTTAATAATTCTAATAATAGGTAATATTAATATACATTTGGCCACCCCTATAATGGTTGAAACCACTGTTAATGCTTAATTGCACCATCACTCTATTTAAAAAAAAGTCTAAAAGTGGCAGATCTAGAGCACCAATAGACATCATGTTCCCAAGATATTGTTTTTTTTGTAACAGTTGTTTCTATATTTTGCCTGAAAATCAAATCAAATTAGACGCATAGCTTGTAGTTTATCCAACAGTATCATCTGAAATAGCTTATCAGAGAATACTGTAGGTCAGAATACACTAAATATCCCTCAAAACTTAAATACATTTTAATAATAAAATAGAGGGAATCAAAAATAAATGCATAACTGACTGCAGCATGTATTACACAAACTAACCCAAACAGTCGGCCCCCCTGATCGTCAATGTATAATTCACACACTGCTTATATCTACAATAGCCGTTCCCAGTTTATGCTGTATGAACATGGCAAAAAGCAGGTACCTCCAGTTTGAAAGCCCCAAATAATAGCTGTGTAATGTTGTATTATCTAAAATTACCAACATAATATAATATGCATAGCATAATATGAACATTACATAAAAGGGCTTTAACATTAGGTAGTTATAGGAACTCAGTTACAGGAACTAGCTACCAGACCGGTGTTCTGTCGATTTGTCCAAACTTATCAGATTGTCCTGCCTCCTATTCAAAAAGTAGGTAGCACATTTTGATGACCCTCATCAGATTTTGCTACCAGTATGATTGGGCGATGTTGACCAATTTGGCATCGTACAATGTCTAATGTGAAACATCGCGATGGACGATAACATCATCGTCATATGGGGGGGTGGTGGTTGTTAAATATCAATCAATTCATAACTAATTAATTAATTTTAGCCTACCGTTTTCATTACCTGACCCCCATGGTCTTTGCTTTACCAATAACAAACCATAAATTAATAAAGTTACACACAAACGACCACCTGTCAATCACTTTTTACATGAATAGTCAGAGTGATCTGAGTCATTATAATGTTTTTTTCCCACAGCTGGTGGAGGAGACGGGAGTTCGTTTGGAGTTCACTGTAATTTTTATTGTGATTGATGATAACATTCTTATTCATTATTATGAGAAAATAATAACAAGTAAAGATGTTAGGGCTCGGCCGTTTTGGTCGCGTTTGCGGCCAAAATTTTATCCATGCGACCTTCAAATATATTTGGATGCATTTTTGCTAGTGCAAAAATTTTCACTGTTTTCAAGGCAAAATCCTCACCGCGTGCGCGGATTTAGGAGCATTAGAACTGAACGGGAATGATTGGTTAATATCAGCTGTCAATCACTCAGTCAATGCCTTCTGCCTTCAGGAACTACAACCGCGAAAATGTAAAGCGCTGAAGATGAGAGGATAAAAATAACACTGACAGATTTTGTTTTAAAAAACCACCAACAGTTACTTATAATGGCACATCTTATTAGTGATCATGTGCTGAATGTTAATCCCTTATTTACACTTTTTCAAGAGTGGATAAAAGACTTCCAGTGGCTTCAAGTCCGCTTTGAAAGTAACTAAAGCCATTCACTGTAAAGTCTGTGGGACGGGCTTTGCAGGTAACAGCGTTTGCCACAAAATCTACACATTTTAAGTGCCAGAGGTACTGTATAATCCTTCATTTAATCCTCACGATGATGTCAGCCGTGCAAGCGGCAGCTATATGTAACATTTAACACAGCTCATTGAAAAGACTGTTGTTTTATTTTGTTAAAATAACATACAAATAATAAGATATATATTAATGTAAATGTGGGGATGAATCGCGATTCCGGCTCTGCATTGTGAAGTTTATCGGCCATCGGCGATGG